TGTTCGAACATTTTAAGCGACGCATTTTTTTAATACAGTGGAGCATGTACATGAATGGCATAAAAAGAAAAAAAAAAAGAAAAATTTCCCAGGGATACAGTCTCGATCATCTGTGAAGAATGAATAGTATTACTGCGGCTTACTGGGGAGTGACGACGTCCATGGACAGCCGTATGTTGGACTGTATTTTAATACCCGCAAGAGACCAATGAGCACACACTCCAAATAGCAAAACCGTGTCCATTGAATTGAAACCAAAATGTGGCCAAAACTGTTCTTTGTAATTGTTCCCTTTAGGGGGGGCGGAATAAATTCATGTCATATTCATTCACATCAATGGGAAAAGATGGGGTGCTTTCAGTTCCAAGTGTGGTCAAAGTGCCGCTTTAGTTCCAAAAAGAAGACCAGAGTCACTCCTGAGGGACACTTGGTGTGGGCGGTTTTCCTTCATGCGAGAGTCTAATGAGCCTCACTGTTGTTAAATGTGGACTGCGAGCTTCATCCAAGATGTCTGCTGCGGAGTCAGCGGTGACCACCTGGCCACCCCCCGCCCACCACCCTCCGGGAGCTCCTCCAGCTCCGCCCGTCAATCACCGGCCTGACACAACACAGCCTGCTGGGCAGCCTGCGCCGGGGCCGGCGCGGCGGGAGGTCTGCGGACACCTGCGACCCGTGATGGGAAACAGACCGGCTTCAAGGTGGCGAGATGTTTTGCTTTCCACCTGCTCGTGACACCGGATCCGCGTCAAAGCCTCAAGCCTCAAGCCTCAAACCCTCGGGCCCGACTCCCACGCTAGCAGCTCTGCTTTTCCCCTCACACGCTGTGCTGCGACAGCCGGCGGTCGGCGGCGATGCCCAGACATCGGGCTCGCTTTCCCTGCTCATGCCCGCGACTCCATCGGAACGTTTCTTTGACATTTGGGGGACTTGCTTGCGTATGCTTCTTCATCCTTGCTTCAAGACTGGATGAATTCAAAATGAAAGGAGAAAAAAAAAGTGCCACCAACAACAACAACAACAACAACAACAACAAGCGCCATGGAGACAAAAATGGAGCCACCAATTTATATTAACTTGCAACTCACATTTGGAGATGCTTGTTTTTGCGTTTTTTGTCGAGACGAAGGAGTTGGAGGGTTCGCTCGTTCACTCCCAATGACGTATTTAGACATCTTTTCGGACTCCACCCAATCGATCCCAGGTGTTTATTTATATTTCTTTCAATTTATTTTCAAGACTTAGGGTCAAAAAAAAAAAAAAAAAAAAAAAGGTTGGAAAATGGCAGGTCCTGAATGAGCATAGCAGACCTCCACAATCGGGGGCGTGGGCGGGACGAGAGCGAGGAGTTGTTTTAATTGGGAGTGGGATTTACTTTCCTATATTTTCTTTGGGTGTGGGATACAACGGGGGAGAAAATCCACTTCCGGCTTCTACCGTTGGGCAACTCATTCGTCATGGATTTGGGTGAGGTTATGTAAGGGTCAGGATTCAGGTTTCTGATTGAGGGAATTGAATAAATAAGGATAAGCGTAGTAGACATTGGATGGATGGATGGTAAGGTTAAGGATCGGGTAAGGGTTGGGGTTAGGGGTTAGGGATAGATGCTAAATAGTTCTCCCGAATAATTCTCAAGATTTTTTTTTTTTTTAATTGTGCTGCTTTTGAAGCTTCCAGCTTCAAGTTGCTACGTCAAAGGGACTTTAGGTCCTACACGCACACACACTTGGCTGCTGGTGTCTCAGGTGTTACAGTTAATCTTGGTGTCATCCCAGGCGAGGCTGCAGGTGCAAGAAAACAGGCCTGACCTGTAACGGTGGGACCGCGCTTGGACAAGTCTAGACAAGGCCCCTCGTTCTGTAGCCTCGACGCTCTCGCGGGGGCGAAAGCGCAATGAGGCTCCCATGGGTGCTCCAGCCGGGGAGCAGGTGCAAGGCTGAGAACACCGCCGGGACTCCCACAGCTCATCACGAGCCGGTCGGCGGGTTGAGGAAGTCAAATGCTGCACGCAGCGCCGTGTCAAAGACTTAAGTCACGCGACGATTCTTGACATAAGGCAGAGTTGATTCAGATCGACGTGTTTTGAAACTAGGAATGAATTCCATGTTCAAGGCAAGCGGGAATTTCTGATCTCCGATGGGGATATGAGTCAATTCCTGAACATTTCCCATTTCCTTCTCCTTCGGTCTAATTTTTTTTCCCATTTCCTGATATTCAAACTAATTTGGTTCCCCATTCCTACCGTTCATTTTTTTCCCTCCATTTTTAGTCAGATTTTTCCCCACTTCCTAAGATTGAGACCGGGCATTCTCAGTTTGATTGAACATTCATTTGATCAATCCTAATTTGAAAACGAGGTTGCAGATTGATCCGGGCTCAAATTCTTTGGCATGGTATCTTATTCCAAAACAAGGAAAAATATGATCGGTATAACTAGTCAAATCTTATAGTTGTGATTCGAACGGAAGAGTTCAAGAAGTCACGACTGTATGTCACGGTATGAAGCGTCATGGTAATTTTGTTCCTTCTTGGAGACATTTTGGCATGCTGAGAACTGACAGACAGATGGGCGATGAGGCACACGAATGTGACGTAACCGCTTTGCTGAACAAGCAGAAATAATTACAGGCTCCCAATCATCACATAGGGGCGGGGGGGGGGGGAGGCATTTTTTTCTGAGCTTTGAGTCCGTTTGTAGTGACCAAGACCAAGTGGAGTGTTTTTGTTTGTTTGTTTCGGACATTTTTTTGTGCATTTTTGCCGAGCAGTCGTGCTGAGTGGGATGAAAGGAAAACGAGAACATACGAATGCTCTCCAGGCAATCAAGAAGAAGAAGATAAATAAATAAAACGGTGACAGCAGATGCAGTCTTGAGTGGTCTGTTTCGCTGACTCATGGTTGGTCGCCGCCCACAAACTAAAACTCGGACTCTTGTTTCCACGGCAACCATCATTTAGACACTCCAAACCAACAATTGGCCACTTGCCCTCACGATGCGATCGACAAACGTTTGGCCGGTTGCCTTGGAGGCGCGATTCTGTCAGGTTCGGTCGTCGATCCGAAACTTGAGTCGCCGCTTGTTGACGTGTTAGCATTTTAGCTAGTCGTCGGTCAGTTAGTTAAAAGTAAACAGTGTAGAGTATTGAAGAAGACACCGTCTTCCAGCTGAATGAATTTTCACAGCCTCGTGTTTTGGTACATTTCTCTCAACATTATTAATGACAAGAAAGGTGACACGACCATGATCAACATTTGTCTGCATGCGCCCACTGCGACTTTGCTGGACGTAAAACAAAAAAAAAGAAAAACGGCAGCAGTGGCGAGCGCGCGCATAAACACGGTCATCCATCACCCGACGTTAAAAACAAATCAAGTTTTTATGACGGCCTTTCAGGTTTTTATCTGACTTCCCACTCGGTGGGCTTCCTGGTTCCTTAATCAACGCGGGGGCAACGATGCACGACGGACGCTCCGGAGAAAGTCGCGACCTTTGGCTCGCATGAATGGCAGGAAACGTCTGAGCGGAGAGGCCGCCGTGCCATTCGCCACGTGAGAGCGCGGCACAATGCGAGAGAGTCGATTGCGCCGTTTGATATCGAAGTGAAGCGCAGAAGCCCCCGCGAGGACCCCCGTGCGTCTCTCAAGAGCCCCCTGTAGGCGGCCGGCTTGTTGGGACAGCTGCTGGCACGGCTCTCCGCGGGCTGCCTGATTCATTTTCTCAGTCAACAGCACAAACTTGCACGGCGGCCACAATGCAGTCAGGCGTGACTCACGGGCCCATTTGGACGTTTGGGCAATGACCGCACACACCCACGCGCACGCACACGCACGCACGCACACATGCGGGCACATACAAAGAAGAGAGTGACCATGTCATCATCTGCCATCGTTTTCCTCTGTCACTTTTCTTAAAAAACAAAAAACAAAATAAATAAAATATATAAATAATAATTTTCATCGACATTCGTTTGATATGTTTACTAGGTGACTTAGTTGGTTAGTCAGTCAGTAAGTTAGTTGGTTCATAATAATTGGCAACTGAATATGACGCTAGGATTTCAGTTGAGTGTTATGTAGTCGGTTCGTCTCAATGAGTATTTTGCTGAGTTGTTGTATGGTAATCGAGTTACTCATTTAGTCAGCTACTTACTTGGCAAATTGGTCAGTTAGTCTATACTAGGTGATTGAGTTGGTCGATCAGTTAGTTGGCTAGTTAGCAACAGTAAGCGACTTAACATTAGGAATAGTTAGTTCATATTTTAGTCCACTTTTTAGTCAATTTGATCATCAATGAGTAATCAATTACTAGATATTGAAGACTAGAAAGCAGTAGAGGGGCCTGGTTAGTTAGCTAGCTAGCTAGCGCTACTAACAGATAGACTCACAGTCAGTTAGTCATTATTTAGTCAGTTGTTTGGTTAACTAGTTTTTATTTTTTGTTAGTGCTGGTTAGTCAGCAACTTATTTTGGATTGCATTGGATTTAATTGGTAAGTGAGATAGAAATTAATTCCTAGTCATCAGTGAGTCAGTTTTGTTAGTTACTTAGTAGTTGACCAATTGCTTATTAGTTAGTCTGTGATTCAGTTGGTTGTTCAGTTTGCTGGATAGTTTGCAAGTTGGTTGGCTAGCTAGTTTGTTTGGCAGTTGTTGTTTTTTACCCTTCCAGTGAGCTGATTGTTTGTCTGTTAGTTAATAAGTGAGTAAGTTGGTTGTTAGTGGGTCAGTCAGTCAGTTAGTCATTATTTAGTCAGTTGTTTGGTTAACTAGTTTTTATTTTTTGTTAGTGCTGGTTAGTCAGCAACTTATTTTGGATTGGATTGGATTTAATTGGTAAGTGAGATATAAATTCGTTCCTAGTCAGTCAGTCAGTTAGTCATTATTTAGTCAGTTGTTTGGTTAACTAGTTTTTATTTTTTGTTAGTGCTGGTTAGTCAGCAACTTATTTTGGATTGGATTGGATTTAATTGGTAAGTGAGATATAAATTCGTTCCTAGTCAGTCAGTCAGTTTTGTTAGTTACTTAGTAGTTGACCAATTGCTCATTAGTTAGTCTGTGATTCAGTTGGTTGTTCAGTCTGCTGGATAGTTTGCAAGTTGGTTGGCTAGCTTGTTTGTTTGACAGTTGTTGTTTTTTTACCCTCCCAGTGAGCTGATTGTTTGACTGTTAGTTAATAAGTGAGTAAGTTGGTTGTTAGTGGGTCAGTCAGTCAGTTAGTCATTACTTTTTTTTGTGAATCAATTTGTTTGTTTGGCCTATAGTTGGTCAGTTAGGTAGTTGTAGTAGGTGGGTTAGTTAGTTGGTCAGTCAGTGGATTAGTTTGGTCGGTTGATGAGTTACTTCATCTTTAATTGGTTGGTTAGTGCTTTGTCATCATTGGGTTTTCAATTCTTCTAGTAGTTATTCATCGAGTTGGTTACTTTTGAGGTCATTGAGTCGATTGGCGGGTGGGTGGCTGGGTCGGTAGGTTGGTTGATTGCTCATTAGTTAGTCTGTGATTCAGTTGGTTGTTCAGTCTGCTGGATAGTTTGCAAGTTGGTTGGCTAGCTTGTTTGTTTGACAGTTGTTGTTTTTTTACCCTCCCAGTGAGCTGATTGTTTGACTGTTAGTTAATAAGTGAGTAAGTTGGTTGTTAGTGGGTCAGTCAGTCAGTTAGTCATTACTTTTTTTTGTGAATCAATTTGTTTGTTTGGCCTATAGTTGGTCAGTTAGGTAGTTGTAGTAGGTGGGTTAGTTAGTTGGTCAGTCAGTGGATTAGTTTGGTCAGTTGATGAGTTACTTCATCTTTAATTGGTTGGTAAGTTCTTTGTCATCGGTTGGTTTTCAATTCTTCTCGTAGTTATTCATGGAGTTGGTTACTTTTGAGGTCATTGAGTCAATTGGCGGGTGGGTGGCTGGGTCGGTAGGTTGGTTGAGAGTCACTCCCGAGTACAACGAAAAAAAGATGTTTTGGGGAACAAACATGTGTCCCCATGACACCGAGACGATGGACATGTGACACACGTGTGCTGAGCCTTGAAATAGAATGAAAGAAATCTTAATCTGCCGTGGGCGTCACCACATGACACAAGTGTTGCGCAACGACGACGAGAAGAGAAGTGAAAGACTGTGGCATGAATCACAGCTCCAGTGACCTACTTTTAATTGTAAACAGTCCCGCTCAAACTTTACAAGTGTTACTAAAAAAAAAAAAATCATGATGGGCACATAATGTACCGAATATAAATAGTACACAAAAGAATGCGTTTCAACAATGCAGACAACGATGAAGAATTTGTACCGGATGGCATTTGATTACTCAAGTGGACCGATGTTGTCCGCAAACAGGTGTGACAGGATGAGAAATACAAACACGATTCCTCTTGGTGTACTTGAATTATTGCTCCAATAGTTCTTTTGACATGTTTGAAAAGCAGGTCAATGACCAGGCCAGATGGGCTGCGTGCAGAGGCGTCGATGCGGGGACGCACAATGTTTTGCAAGAGGGCCTTTCCTGAGAAGTACATACAGTAATGCTACTTTTTTTCTTTTTTTTTTTTGTTTTATTTGGAATAATTATGCGTCATCGGGAAATTATTGGTCAGCCCACCCACCCCACCATCGATGAACTGCGGCGGCGATTAATTATGGGGGTCCAGATTTTGGTGGCCAGGCAGAACCGTCTCAATTGGCGTCGCCGGTTCTGCCTCGATGGGTCTGATGTTGGCTCGCACTGACTTGACCACATTATTGCCACTTCCATTAAAATAATAATAATAATAATAATAATAATAGTAACACCCAGAACACGACTATGATGCTAATAAGAAGCGTGCACGCTCGTTGGTGACTCACACTTTCCATTTGCATCAATGACGACGACGACGACGACGACACTACGGGCGCGGTGGGGAGTGGCTACGTGCTGACTCAGAGCTACGCAAACAGCTCGGCTCACCATAAAGCACATGAAGCCCCTTTGGAAACGCAGCAACGTCTTGAGGGCCTCCTCTGACTTTGGAGACGCCAAACAATCTCATTCATCAATAACGCCAACTTTTGAATGACACGCTACGACGTATTCACTGAACAACGTCCTTATTGTTGTGCTTGCGGGTTGTGACAAGAGAAAGCACGTTGCTGACACGAAAAACGACATAACCGATTCCGAGACGAGGCGTCATCGGAATCATATTCATGTCGCAGAAACATGACAGAAACCAGTAAAAAAACGTGATTGAACTTTCATTATTGTTAGACACGCCGTATTTCAAAATATATATTACCGCGTGCTATTTTCACAGCTCTCGTGGTCGGAACAGGTTGCGCAGGCGTGTCTAATAAATTGGCCGCCCAGTGAGTAAGTCAACAAGGTAAGATGAACCATTTGGAACCACTAGAAAATCACCACATGATGAATATTCGAGTATTACTCAAACCATGAGGATTATTCTTGCACTTGGGCTCCACTTCCGCCGGTACACGTGCAAGTTTACGGGAAGGAAGCTCCTTCGGCAACGTCAGCCAAAATGGTTGCCAAATGTGTGAAATTTGGATGGTTGCCAAATGTTTGAAATTTGGTGCATTTCGGGCGAGTGCCTGACTCAGTACTTGGGACATTTCACCCCAATGAAAAACGAAGACGGAACATGAAACTGCAGCCTCTCCTATGAGCAAAAATCAGGCGAGAACGTGCCCCGCGTTCTAAAAAGACACAAAAATGGTGACGCAAGTGCTGAGTCATGCAGGCTCTTCCAAATGATGGAACAATGCAAACCTTTATGGAACCTTTCACAAGTCGCTATCCAGGGAAATTCCGTACTTCATGCGACCGCACTCTAAGTGTGTGTGTGTGTGTGTGTGTGTGTGTGTGTGTGTGTGTGTGTGTGTGTGTGTGTGTGTGCGCGTGTAGTCAGCATGCAGGCGTGCATCACGTGGTGAGTGAGGTGAAGGGCTATTAGGGCAAAGGCGAGGACCACGACTGCTGCGCCGGGTTACTCAGTAACCTGCACGCTCGTCTTCGCATCCCAACCGTACCAAACACACTAACACATTAACACACACACACGCACGGACACACACATGACACAAAAGCGCACACGCACACACCTCAGCGCAGCTGCACGGGTGAAGCAATCATTTTGACCTCGAATGTGTTTCTTTTGAGGGAGACTTGAGGAGAACCAAGGAAGGGATGTTGCCAGATGTGGGAGTCCAAAAACAAATATGGACGCTTGTCACCCAAATGAGGCCTTCCGCAACTCGGCCATCCGCGCACAAAAACTTGGGAGTCAAACTGGACATGAGATGCTGCCGTTTTGGTTAGCAAACTCTTTCCAGTCATAGCACCGACGAGCGGATACTTTCTTCCGTCGGGTTTATTTGAGGGAGGCGTTCATTTCCCCATGTGGACGCTGTCTTTTTTTCGAGTACACGTCAGTGTCCGCGTAATGAGTAATGATTGACAGCGCGCGGCATGACTCACATGCTTGTTAGCAGTCATGTTCTTGTTCCTGACTGGGGTCCAAACTCCACGAAAATATGACAGTTTGTCCAAAGCCAAGCCGTGCACATGTCACGGCTGGCTAAACAACAACAATTAGCATTGGAGTGATGCGGGCTGAGGGAGGATGAGGGGGGGCTTGTACAAAGTGTTCCTGACAAGTTTTTTCTTTGAAGGGGGGGGGATGGAGGTAGAGAAGCCGACACAATGATACACGTTACGGCCACGCTCGCCAATTCATTTTCAGACCACGTTGCTAGTGGCGGCGCCATTCGGAAAAGAGCACGCCATATTGTTGCCAACTGACTTTAAAATGTGAATTTCGGTTTACATTTCATTACTGAAAAGATTTTTGTTCACCATAAAAAAAAATCAGTTTGGGACAAGAATTGAGAAGAATTTAGTGATTTCGATCCCATTGCCAGTTCTCATCCGTGGTGGGAATAAAACGGAATGAACGTAAACGGAACCATCAGACGAGCAGTTTCTAGAAATGTGATTACAGTGGATCTCTGCAATTCACGGAGAGGGAGTGATTAACAAAAATACACATTTAACTGACGGAAAAAAAGACAATCATTTTAAATGTTTCTCATTTGGACGAGACAGTTTCTCGTCCTAACGAGATCACTTTTTGGTACTGTATCTTCTATTAACGTGTAGGCGTTCTTCTTCTGCTGTTACCGCTTCTTCTTCTACACCGCTGCAGTCAAAGAGAAGAAGACGGTCTTGGTGTCAAGGCGAAACAAGCTAGAGGGAAACAAACTACAGTTGTATTGTGTTTCCCGACTTGTGTTGAATAAAAATATCACAAAAGATCAGATCAAGGCTCATTTTCCGTTCTTCAAGCTCCAATTTTGGAACTAAGAACGGGAGAAAACTCAACCCCTTTCACTGGAGACAACAGTGCCTCCTAGCGGACAGAGGAGTCTCTCCAATGCATGAATGTTGAGGCGCAAAAATAAAAACAAAAACTCAATCAATTTGAATTTAAATTAGAATTTAGGGTGCATATTTTTGATACGGATTATTTTTTTTTCAATTTTTTCTTTACAATTTTTGATGGTACAGAATTAGAAATGAGAGGGTTAAAATGTTGAGATTAAAACACAAACAAGAAATTGAATTTAAAATAAAGAAGCTTGATTTTTACACTGATTTTATGATTAAAAATAAAGTGTTAGAAATTTGATGGTAAAAAAAAAAAATCTAAAGACATTAAAATTCAAACCACCTGATTTTGGAATCAATTCAGATGGTCCAGATCCCCTTTGACACGATGATAAAAAGTTGCAGGGGAGAGGTCTGAAAAGTTACATCTGGCAACTAGTCTCAAATTTGCGTTTGATTGAGGGAAGCTGGCAGGGTGCTCCATCATTGGCTTTGACAGGCCGGCTAGCCAATCGGCGCTGTGCAAACAGCGACCTGGCCACCGCAACTTTGTTTTTATGGGGCCACCTGGACATGCATCTGGTCCGGCCGAGGGTGCAGATGGACGTGCATTAATAGACTGGCCGTCGCTTGCGTCCAAGCACGCTTCAAAATAATATATGTAGATAATAATAATAATGATGACAAAAATAGACGACCGATTGTGGCGGTCTCAACTTCCCAGTGTTCCTCTTCCGAACAGGCGCCTGTTACATAACGTCCTCCGCTGAGAAAGGGGCCGTTGACACGGGGTAACCTTTGCCCGATAACAAAAGCAACTTGGACAAATAATTAACATGCAAAGAGGGGGTGAAAGGGGGCGGAGACGGGGGCGGGGTGGCGGGTGTGTTCATAATTGCGATTGTTATGTAAAAATGAATCACACTGCATGAGCAAAGACATGAAGAGAGCGTTACAGATGTTTTCATTCATGGCACAACAAACAACACGGCAAGAGAACCCAGTCAGGCTTTTGGCACTGCACTATCATAATGTTTAAATATCTTTTTTTATTTTTTTCAAATGACGGTAAATTACATCGAACGGCCAACAACATGAGAGTGGGCTATTGGTGGTAAATGTAGGCTAAAAATCCAGATTTATATAAAGACTTGTAAAATAAATCAAAAGGCATCTGTTGTATGCCATGATTAAAAATTCAGTGTCCAACGGAACTAGCGTGTCTATTTAAAGGAACAGCGTGCCGATGCCGAGGCATTCCTTGTCGTCCCAGAAGGCCGGCGAGATGGGACCAGCGTCCGCTGAACTGCAGTGACCCCGGCAGGGCACCCTGCTACCATGCCTGATGTCATGACCTGATGCTGTATATGTATGTGTGTGTGTGTGTGTGTGTGTGTGTGTGTGTGTGTGTGTGTGTGTGTGTGTGTCACCGACATGTTATCAGACGGAGTCGTGTCAGCACGGTGGTGCAAACTTCTCTCCGAGCTGCAAGATGCCACACAAACGTTGTGATATTTGGACTGCACGCGATGCCAGACAATTTAGTCGGTAGAGTTTAACAAAGATGCTCACTTTTTGATTGTGCCCCCCCCCCAACCCACACACACACACACACACACACACACACACACACACACACACACACACATCCGCCCAAATCAATAAATACATACCGGTAATAAGTCTTTTTTTTTTTTTTTTAATAAGAATTATACACATGAGTAAAAAACTTCAATCAATATTTTAATATCTTGAGATGTCACGCAATCCATACAGGTTAACTTCGGCCTCGAGAGTCACAAGAGGTGCTGAAAGCGGTGGCCATGAGCTTCCACACAAAGTGCGGTGAAGGCACAGGGGCCGAACTGAGAGTATGCAGGGCTCTGCTACACGTACACACAAACACGCACACGCACACATGCACACACGCACACGGTATTTTTTTTAACCCCCCAAAATTCCTTGAATAAACCACCAATAACTGTTAAATTAAAACGAAGACACTAGGGGGAAAACACCCGTGAATAGGTGAATTTGTTGTGATGTCATGAGATTTTTTGTCAAATATCTGCCTCTGCTCAAGTGAGTGGAAAAAAAACACGAGAGGAAAAAAAAATCATGTACAGAAAATGTCGAAGAATGACAAAAAAAAAAAAAAGAAGTACTTTGTGATGGGGCATAAACATCGCTTTTGTATCCGATCCAACCATCTAAATAAAAAAACAAACTCTTGGTGACATATTAATGCAATGACAATATTGGTGAGCCGTCCATAGACAAGACGTGGGAGGTGACTCACCGGCCGCAGAACCCCACCTAAAGCGGGCCACACGTGTCCACGCCAGTGTTATGATTACCCATGACGGCGCGCTGGAAATAACCTGACGGACCGGTGGGGACCAGGCGGCGGGCACGTCTCTCACAGCAGCAAGGCCCGGACCTGCTGCGGGGATCTGGGAAGGAGGCGCTCGGGGTCTTTGTAGGCGTTGGCCGGGCTGTTGAGCGCCGCGTGCACCTCGCCGTATGCCCGGCACACCAGCTCGGTGGACTGCGAGAAGATCTGCTCCCTGCCACGGGAGAACACGGCATTTCGTCAGCGTTTGCACTTTTACAAACTCGAAAGTGCCTTGAGGATTCGCATTTTCACAGATTTGTACAAATTATGATTTTTTGTGTGTGTGTGTGTGTGTGTGTGTGTGTGTGTGTGTGTGGGGGTGTGTGTGCGTGCGTGTGTGTTGTTTTTTTCTTGGTCTTCCCGTTCCCATTCATTCTCATTTCGTCCTTTTCAGAAAAAGAATCATGAATCTTTATCAGCGTGAGTTGAAAATGTTTTATTATTCCCCCCTCGCCCCTCCAAGGTATTTTAGTCGGCGCCAATGAAACTGGATTTTTGCTAGTTGCAGGACATCGCGGGAGTCCGCTCTATTTCCAAAAATTCCCCATCGTAAATTCCCATGGAGGTTTATTGGAGACTTTACGGAAATTTACCAGAAATCCTCCACCCCCTCGCAACCTCAATATGTTCGCCATCTTGCTCGAGAAGAACCCAAAAAAAAAAAGCCCATTTGCGTTATTTGTGCTTTCATGTGTTGATCAGCTCAGATGTGCGCGCCATCGAGACGATTTCAGGGAACCGCCGACGTGAGTGAGAAATGGACCAGAAGCTAATTAATGGCGTCCTGCCCATTAGGCCTGCGGCGTCCATTAATAGAGAACATTAACCTGAGGCACAGAGTGCTCCTCTCACCGACCGCACTTGCCGGTAAACGTGACTCACAGCACGCGGCGGCTGGATGGAGGCAGCTAAAAGCATATGTGCGCGCGCGCCGCCTCGGCCAGGCAAACACCAAACAACCCGGCGGCGTCGCCGCTTCCACACGGCCAATGAAAAGTCGCCGTGACGTGGAGTGGAGTGTTTTGCTGGCAGCGTGCGCCGCGCCAGGGCCCAATCGCACTTACTTGATGGCGGCGCTGAGCAGGAAGTTGAGCTGAGGCATCGCCAGGCTGTCAGGTGACGACAGGTAGCGGTCGAACTGGACCTGTTGGTGGAAGGACGACAAACGCCATTTTAGGGTTTGTGCGAGTCTTTGCGAGACAGACGAGACAGTCCTTGAGATTTTGTTGGATCGCTACCAAAGCTGCACAGACTGGACGGCGAAGAATGTTTTGTTTGAGTCATCGCATGAGGCCGCACATTGGTGACCCACGCAAAATTTGTTGGTGCCGACGTGGAATCGTTGTAAAATTCCGCCCCTTATAGCTTGTTACCTTGAGCAACGTGGAATTTGGACGGCATGTCTACTACTTCAAACGCTGCACATCAGAGAGAGAAAGGGGGAAAAAAATATCCAGTACCTCCATCAGCAAACAAAATTTCAGTCAAATTCAAAAATCAAATGAAAATTCAGCACCCGAGGCCAGATGAATTCAGCAACACGGAATTGGGTAGGCATGTCTATCCGATGTAGCCCCACCAAAAAAAATTCTCAAGAGGCCATACCCCGAAGATGCAAAGAACGTGGCCACAAACAGCGTCTCTGTAGCATGCAATTAGAATTATTTTTAGAAATCCTGCCATCTTAAACCCAACGGTCCTTCCCTCACCATAAAAACGGATCCAAGGCTGTGAAAAAGTATTTTCCCCCCCTTCCTGATTTTTGCGTTCTTTGCGGAAGGGGACAAATACTTTCTCACGGCACGGTCACTCAGCTTCTCCTTCCGGTTTTGCTGATGACGAAGGTTCCTCATGAAATGTACTCACCATGGCCGCTTTCACCGAGGAGACGTCCATGCCGGGCACGAGGGACAGAGGACCCTGACGACAACACAAAACAAGACGTGTTACACAAATTCAAAAATCACAACATGACTGGCTTATCACATGGCGGTTGTCAAGACGGGCGTTTTGTTTTGACGTAGCAGCGTCGAATGTCAGCCTCGAATACAGTCCGGGTGCCATTCTAGCGGGAACTTGGAGACGGAACATTTGACAGAAGCACCGCACATTGCAACATGATTTACCGTACGGTATATTTGTAATATGAGTCTGAATATGAATTTTCAGGTTGAAATGAGTTGGCCGATCTGGACCACATTGGGATGAAACTTGGTTTGACTTGAGATGTTCCAACCTTGCATCCGTGCAGCACTTTCCATTCAGGAAAGATTATTTATTTATTTTGTGGGGATGTAGATTTTGGGGGGAAGCAGATTATTTAACTGTATAGCTATGAAAATAAAATGAAAGGGAAGAAAACAAACATAAAATGTGCATTATTAAAATAACCCCCCCAAAAAGAACTAAAATAAATAATGAATATATAATAATCTTAGTACAATAATGACAATAATTCTGTTGTATTCATACAATTTTAAAAAGGTAAAAAAAAGGCTAATTTGTCCCAAATAAATATTAACGCATAAAAATGTAATATTTGTATCATTCAAATGATTTCTTTATTAAGGTTAATTAATAAATTAAAAATAAATAAATAAAACAGAGACTTATTATCATTCCAAAAAAAGTTACATATAAATAATAATAAATAAAAATAGCATTTGAGGACGTTTTAGCAAGTGGTCTTACTTTGGAGGAACAACATAATCAACAGCAGTCTTCTCCTCCCCGATGAGAGAAAATGACAGGGTGGAAACTTTTTACAGATAGTGAAAGTCAACCTTGAAGGCCGAGAATAGACGGTGTGCCGTGCAGACGCAGACGCAGGCACACGCACACGCACACGCGCACACACACACACACACACACACACACACACACACACACACACACACACACACACACACACACACACACACACACACACAGACTTGATCTCCTCAAACACACGCTGGACTATTTCGGGCGAGGCCACCCGGGGAGATGATGACGCTTGGCGACCGAGTTTCGTGCCGGGGAGCGGCGCTCCTGTCCCGGCGTGACCTGCGTCGTCACGACACGTAACCGCAACCATGGCCGCCGCCGTGGCCGTCGGTCAACAGTGGGCGGAGACTGTCGGACGCTTGACTTGTGTTCATAGCATCGGAAAGAAAAGCATACAAGCGCGGACGCGGGCCATATGGTCACCGTGGCGACGGCATCGTAAACAACAACGCTCGCCACGGAGGTGTTCGTGGAAATAAGTGGAATTTCAAATATCTTCGACGCGCCGCTGTTCCAGTGGCGGGTTTTGGGGATATAAACACACTGATAATCCATTTGCACAAGTGTGCACACCCTCTTACACTGCCCAAGCCTCACTGACGTCCAATGAAAAATGTGCCCTGCAGTGTGAGAAGAGGAGTGTGTTCTGGGACCTGCTTGGCGTCGTGCTGCTGGACGCAGTTGTAGATGTAGCTGAGGCCCGCTCTGGTCAGCACGTAAGAGGCCTGCTCGTTGATCAGCGTGTCAAGGTGAGCCTCGATCTGCGGAAGCGGAATAAGAAGCAGAGAGGAGTGAGCGGCTGAAGTCGAAAAGAAAAAAAAAGAAAAAAGAAAACAACAATGAGGTGCCATGGTGAGCAAATGGTCCTGGTGCCTAATGGAGCGCCGCCGGTGCCGCGTTGCATGACACAAAGGATGTGATCCAATTAGACGGATAGATGGACTGCCGTAACACGAACTCATCATGAAAATGTGAATGCACCTTGTTTTGGTTTTTTTCAGTTTCAAATTCACGTCCACAGTGCTGTAGCTTGGAGGGCCACAAAATCATTTGCTGATGATTTTCAGAACGTAGCAACTAAGACAGGTGTGCAATAAGCGTTTTTCCCCCAATCAAGATCATTTCATTTTCCAGTAACAATATAATGTCATAGTTTTTCCTTAAAATGCGACATCTGGAATCTTTTCTTCAATTACTTACAAAATACAGAAGAAAGATAGAATAAAAAATTAATTGTTCCGTCTAAACTCTCCTATTGCCATAGGCAACTATAGAACCATTTACTTATTTATTTGGGACATCAATCGAGTACAAATGCATCTGCGCAAGTGTGCTGCAGTTAGTGCAGTCACTCTCTTGTCTCTCTCCCTCTGCTCGGCGTATGCGTAACTGCTCACCCCTCCCCTCGATGCTCAGTCGAGAACGAGGAAAAAAAAGTTGCTGACCTCCCCAAATTAACTTCAAATGGTCACCTTGTTTCGCGAGCTCCACAATGAGCAAATCATGTTAAAGAAAAGTCAAAGCTCATGACCGGTGACAGACAATTTCAGCGGTGATTGAAACCTTGACTTTTTAAAACCGCAGTCACACGGGTGATGGGCCGATGCCTACCTGGAACTCAAGCATCTCCAGCCTCTTATCTGTGAACTCAAAAAGCGCCAGCGTGGTCTTCATAACGTACAGCGAGTTGACCATGTAGGTGGCCATGTCGGCCGTGCCCAGGTTACTGGCCGAGACCGTGCACAGCTGCAGGAGAGGGTCCAAAATGCACGAGAGCACCTGAGGGCGGGCGAGAAGGGGAGCACGTGAGCCATGAAGTTGATCACGGAACAGGAAGGGACGGGTGAAACCGACAAAATTGTTTACTTGGGCAAAGTCGGCCTGGCGAGCACCCACGGGGACCACGGAGGAGTCGTGAGAGGCCAGAACCTCCCTGAGGAGAGCCAACGTCTGGGTGAGGGAAGTGGTGGGGCCCAGGTCGGGAGGGGGGAGCTCCACCTACAAAAAAAAAAGAAAAAAGAAAAGAAAAAAATAGGATCCTGAAATGTCTTCGGACACGTCACTTGAAGGGAAAATAAATGATTCAGAAATAGTCGGCCACATCGCTCCAGGTGAACTTCTTTTGGCCCTCTCTAAACTTTTAAATGGCCATGACCCAACTGCTCAGCGCTTCCCTGCACAGCTCCTTGTTGTGCAACAAGTACAAAAGCATTGGACGTGCAGTCCAAAGTTCAGAGAAGGTCAAATGAAGTTCACATGTAAAAGGTGAGAGCGCCTTTTAGGTTCATCCTGAAATTTTGCACAACAGCTGAACGTCGAACTCTTTGAGAATCGCGCCTCATGGAAAATTTACTTTTTCATTTCTGGTACACAAAACACTTGCGTCTCTGTGCCTGGCCGCCCGTCAAGTATGTCATCGAACAACCGAATCAATATCTTGTAAGCTGCCCATATCTGAGAATGAGTCTGTGAGCGAGCCATTCAGAATTTTGCCCAACTGTTGCCGCCACAGTTCAATTCCTTGACCTCATATTGTTTCTCTGAAGACGATCAGACATTTTCAACAAACGGCAACATTGTGCACAAATTATCCCAAGAACAGAGGCTGCAAATGTGCGTCCTCCTCCGAGTTTTTTTTTTTTTCCGTCCGGGTGTCCCAATACTTTTCTCTTCATCTCAGTAAATCCTACACGGGTAATCTGGGAGTCAGTTGTGCTTCAAATGAAAAGGGCCGTGATTAAATCTCGCGGAAAAGGAAAAAAAAAAAAAAAAAAAAAAGGAGGCGGGCAATCTTTTGTGCACCTAATGGCCGTCATTATGAGAAGAGCGCGTTCCCGGCTGCGGCTGCAATCGACACTGAAACCCGGAGGGGGCCATCTATCGGATTAGCAGCGGGGCCACCGGGCTCATCGGCCTCGTGGCTATCGATCGGGAGCCAGCTGGACCCCCGCTACGTGGAAGAGCGCGTGCTGCCGTGCATTTGGACGGCAATTTAACCAGAACGCCAAGATGTACGCGGTGTTTTTTGGGTGGTCAGCAGGGGCCACTCGGACGCAGCGGGGCTAAATGTTTTCAAGAGGTCCAGAAATAGACAAAGTCCATGGAGGAGGGGGTGATACGCAACCTCTGCACGATCCACAGCAAAATCTCAACAACACGGATGGGACCTTGTGTGACTTAAAAAAAAAAAAACTTTTCAATGAAGCATACGTTCGTGTTTTGTAAACACTGATGACAATTTAGCCTTCAGTGAACCTTACGCTTCAGTTTCCCGTGAACCTGAGGGGGATTTCGACTCTTCTATGAGTCTATTGTACGCATTTTATGCAGTGGTTAAGTAATTGATTTCCCTGCGATGACGACTAGGAAGAGCCCAACAGCTGGCAAAGGGCTTATTATGGATTACATCCTTTAATTCGTGAGATAAAATGGTGACAAATCTGTTTTATGCGCCGTGTAATTTCCCCTCGGGAGGGCAAACGGAGGCCCCTCCTTCTTGAATTAGCCTACTTTGTCCATGAGTCTGCTTGCGTGAAGGCTCAAGCTGTTGAAGAACATCTTTTTGCTGAGCATGTGCATCTCCTCGATGGTCATGAGCAAAGCGGCCGCGCCGGTTCCCACGATGGAGCTGCCAACACACGCGAATACGACGGGGGCGTGAAGCCGTGACAAAAGGCCGAGCGGAGACAACGGACGCGGCGACAGACCTGATGGTGTGGTGGTAGAACTTGAGCAGGTTGGACAGCTTGTAAAGCAGCACCGCGCCCGGCTCGGCCACGATGACCTGCTCTATCCGAACCTGGAAAGCGTGCGAAGGTGTCGGAACACGAACGGCAACAAGGAGAGATTCGGGACTATTTTAGCTGCTCACTTTCAGAGGGCGACACACTCCTTCCGTGATGTGTCCGACCACCTCCTGCATGTTGTCCTCCACATCTGGACAAAAAAAAAAAAAAAAAAAGTGCTGCATTTAAAATCACTTCAAATGCAATTTCTGACCACACATTTAGAGTAATGTAACCCTTCATTTGGAGTCCTGGCTTTCAATGTTCATTTTTTAAATGTGTCCACCAGATGGCGCTGTATCTCCCCATTCAAAGCATGCAGCAACAAAATTGAACCGTTTACCGTTTTCGCCAACTAATTCAGCAATGATTAAAAACCTCCCCTATAATTTGTATCTGATCTCTTTTTAGAATAAAGAAAGGAAAACAATACATATATATTACATAAACTATTCCCCCCCAATAAAAAGTGGATTTGTGTAAATTTACTAGCCTTTAAAGAACACAAACATGCTATTGTATTGACTAACAAAGTGGAACGAATAGCGTCCATTTCCCACCAACTTGGGGGAAGTTGACATGTTTTTCATTCAAATGAATTTTTAACTGTTTCACAGAAATTATTTTACTTTTTTTCTCCCCCGAACAAAAGTGGATTTGTGGGAACCAAACTGGCCTTTAACAGGATTTAAAAACTAAAACAAAATTAATATTTCACATACCCTGGTTATTTCTAGCCGTAGTGGAAATCAAAGAGTGCCTTATTGAAGTGGAAAGGCAAACTCGCGTGAATTACTTTTCGACAGAGTTTTGGGTAACGGGCCAATTTTGGAGCGGCGATATTTCACCCGTCGGCGTACCCTGCAGAGTGACGCTCTTGAGCAGCGCTTCCAGGTGCTCCCTCTCGGAGGCGGTGGCTTGGTGCAGCCAGGCCAGCATGTCGCCCAAGTACCTACAAGAACGGATCATGTGAATTCAATCCCTCTTGACCGGCGGGAGGCTAATTTTAACACGTCGGGAACACAAGCGCCCGCAATCATGGGCCATCATGTTTCATTTCCCCTCCAAAGACAACAGCGCTGTATTGCTTGTTATATAATGCTCGCAAAAACAACGGGGGTGATGGAGATTGACTGTGTGTGAGTGAGTGTGTGCGCGTGCGCGTGTGCGTGTGTGCTTGCGTGCATGTGGTGAACACGGTGAGAAACAACTCAATGTTCTCAGAATTGCTGATGCCTCCGACCGACTCCTAACTAAAGGCCATTCTGCGGACCATTCCGAGAAAATCTCCCGGGAGGACGGCGCTGCGGCTAATAAGGACACGCGCTGATCCAATATCCGCCATGTGAGAGTCATTCGCCGTCAAAAGGTGGAAGCCGAACGGTCCAAACGGTCATCACGCCAACTTTACTGTTAACTCGGGGAGAACTTGGGTCAAGACCCCTTCTTAATCCAACCATCAAACATGCTGCCACTAGCATGAGCACAATGCTGTAGGACTTATTTGTTGCACATTTCAACACAAAAATATATTTGGCATGCTTCGCAAAAAGATAATCAACCAAATTCAAATGAATGACATGTCACAATAATCTATCGTTACACTGACAACGTGGCAACGGTACCGCGGATGGACATATCAATGGACTATCATTTGGAACCCCGCGGCTGAAACCAGAAGGCGGCCATCTTAGGTTGTCACTGTTACTATCAAACTTATTGGTCCAACTTAATGCCACAGAGACAGAAAATAAAGTGATAACAGCGCAGCGATAGCAAGGTATTCACGTCAAGCGGGCTTAGCATTGGCAACGCAAGATGGCCGCCGGTCGCTCCACGACTGACTGGTTGTGTGTGCTTATGATGACTCGGATTACACACGCTCACCTTGATTGACAAGTTTAATTCATGACGTGACCGCATCGCTTGCGTCTCAAATCAATGTTCCCCATTCAAAAGTATGGAAATGCCATTAAACCATTCCAGCGCCGATGACGCAACATTATTTTTTGCTGCGTGATTATTAACAAGAAAATCACTACTATACAGTATAGAATCAGCAACAAAAAAAAGAAATGAACAGTTTTTCCTGAATTGTTACATTTTCTTCACTTCATCCATATTGTTTTTTTTCTTGCCTTTTCCACTGGCCTATGCTCACTCTCAGTAGCCTCCACATCTTTCCAAGGACAGAGGTTGGCAGCTGCAAAATCATTTGAACGCCCTTGGCTGGCCTTCTAACCTTTAGTGACTCTTTCTGTTTGAGTAACAGTGCCTATCGTGCAGGCGCTAGGCTTCGCCAAGCCTAGATTCAATCAACACCATCGATAGTTGGAAATGTTGTCCAAAATCTGCAGGAAAAATGAACATTGCAAGCAAAAAAAACAAAAAAAACCCCAGCCCAACCAAGACTTGTACTTTCATTGCCAAGTAACCACATGAACTGATGGTGGTGGCCTGACGCGTTGAGGTTCATCGCTGCCATCTACTGGCGGAGTGTCAGAGCTCACTCGTAAATAATATAAAACTCCACCAAAGCTCTTGTAAGTCAAGATGCCACAGTTCAAACGCAAAATGGATGGAAGTTGGGGTTTGAATTGTGACGTCACCTCATCGGGTCATGCGAGTGCATCTCAATGGGACGGGGGGTCCCGCCCGGTCCCCCACGCGTTAGGGCATCGATGAAGCCACGCACCACCGCGCTCCTGCGCGCCGTCCCAAACTCATCCAGGGTGTACCTGCGGGCAAAAGGGATACAAAGGCCGTGTGGGAAGCGGCGGTGTTTTTCTACGCTGGAGGTCAGTTGTGAAACAAATCAGGCGCCCGAGCAGCGCTTCCACAAGGAAGCCGACGTCTGTGTGAGACTAAACACCAGATAGCGCGGAATCAAGAATACAGGAAAGGCCCGTCTGTGAGCGTGACCTTGCGCGCTCACAGTCAAAGAAGGGGGGGGGGGGGGGGGCATTGAAAATAAAATAAAAATCAAATAAATACTGGATGGGCATGTGAAATGACGTTCAAGTCATAAGTCATCTTGAGTGCAGTAAGTAACTGCATGGACAAGCGACACTAATGGACACCAAAGACCTTTTTGAAACCTTTCCAAGGACACTTTCAAGCACTTTTCCTGCAATTTCAAGTCCAATGGAGTACTTGACATCATTTCCTTGCAGATAAAAAGCAATTACGCCTTGGCCCTCAAAGCTATTTTTAACAGGGAGCCTTGAAAATGATCAGCACAACTTCATCTTAAAACAGACGCTTTGCATTTTGCACAGCAGGAGTTCGTCTCAAAGCCCGGCCCTGGAATGTTGTCCAAAATGGCTGCTTCAAAGCAAAACGGTCACCGTCCCGTTAACTTGCGGACATGTCCATTCAGTCCTATGGACGCGCACCAAATATCAGGTGGATCAATGAAATTTGAGGGAGGTGTGTACAGAATCTCGAGAACACCAACATTTGTGGGAATGGGTGTCACCTTTTTTTTTTTTTTTTAATCTGTAGGCATTTTCGCAAATACCACATGGCCTGATTAGTTTATTTCATCCGACGTAAATAATTATATAATTCTATGATCGAATATGACATGTAAAACGGAGGTGCATTTATTGCCTGTTTGTGTGTGTGTATGTGTTGTTAAATGAGTGTAAAACTGCCTTTGACTTTACATGTTGCAGCAGCTCCCACCGAAAAGCAATGTGAATTCCACCCAGTCAATCAAAGTTCTCAGCCGGTTGACATGTGGAGCTGCACTTCCCCCTAGTGCTGGTTTTAGACGGAGCAACACGGCCATCATGCAGTGCTTTGTGTGTGTGTGTGTGTGTGTGTGTGTGTGTGTGTGTGTGTGTGTGTTACTTGTAAAGGACAGGCCGGTCCTGTAGGGCCTCCATGGCTTGAGTCAATATGGGGCTGATATCGCACATCTCCTGGGTTAATCCTCTGCATTCATCTGGGGACAACGTACGGAAAATGCAACTTTATTCTCTGGTCTTCTTTTCCCTTTCTGTATTGTGCGTGTATGACATTTTTACATTGACTTCAAATGTGAAACGAAGGCGTCCTTACACGCTTGCACACCGGCATGACATCGAGTGACACGCGCACACGTCACGCGGCAGTGCTAGCATCTTTTCATCATCTCATATCGACAGAGCAGCGATACGGGAGGAGGTAGAAATATGTTGCGGAAACGAAGCGACGCTTTCCAATCTTTTCGTTTCATGGCGTCCGATGAAGATGACGTCACATCACTGCCGCGCGAAAAATAAATGTAACGCTTGCGTCGCTGAATTCATTCGATCATCACAAATGTCAACATTGTGCTTCATGTTTCGAGTGGGATGAAAGTCAAATGTAAAGTCAACACTGTTACTCAGAACAATGCAGATTCATGGAGCGCTATCGTCAGGAGTCTCCCTCCCAAGCACTCTCAAACGCCCGCGTAGGGGGTGCATGTTGGGCTTTTGATGACGTACGGGTCAGATGACGCATTCACTCGCTTATTGTGGAACAGTGTCTACTCCACGGATGGCCGCTGTTTTAAATTGCAATCCGGGTATGAAGTATTCATGGCATCGCGAGGTCGTGGCGTTCCGGACTTACTCTGTGCCCAGCGGTAGAGTTGCTCGTACGCCGCCTCCTGCAACACGGCCATCTGCTCCATGATCTCCAGCCTACATGACATTTAGGTTACAATCGCACTTCAGCGGCAGCGAGGTGGTGGTGTCCAATAAACAGGCCGGCCGTTACCCTGCAGTCTGCTGGTTGGTCCGCAACAGTATTTTAACATCCTCGTGGATTTGCTTCACTCGACTCAGAGCTTTGAAGAAATCCTGCAAAAATAAACAAACAAATAAATAAATAAACTAAATAAAGCACACATCAACCGAACACGGACTAAAAACAAACTCATGTACACATACTGTATACCAAGTTAACATCTTAACTGAATGTGCAACAGTCAAACACCAGTCAAGCATCCTTTCGGCATTAAAAGTCGCCTCCAGATTGGCGAGTGTTCTGTTGTACGTTACGTCTACGGAGGCGGTGCCTGAGCCCAACTAGCTGCTGACCGCAGACGTTTGCGAACGGAAATGGTAAACACAGCCCTCAGCGCGGGACAATCCCTCACTGAGAAGTCTAAAAATGAATCTACCTCTGAAATGGGCGCATCTCTGGCCCCGCGCAGTGTGCTCATCTCCTCACTGGACAGCTGGAACTTGGCCAGGAAGGCCTGCGCCACCTGGGCCCTGACCTCGAGACGGCGGCTGAAGGAGAAATCAGATCCGTTTTCATTAACACACTCGTTTCAGCTATTTCTAATCCACAGTCTCATTACACATCTTTAATCCAGACGCATTTCCCCTTCTCGCTCTCCCATTGTGAATTGCGATGAATGGCTTTCTTGCATTATTCAGAGTGTGCTTGCTTGCCTGCCAGGCTGTTAAATTGGTGCAAAATTACTAGCTTTCATCAAAAAAAAACCCAAAAAACACAAATAGAGGACAGCTCAGAGTGTGCAGGCGTGTCATCCATCCAGCAGGTGGCAGTCACACGCCTAAAAAAAATAAATGCGTGAGGTGGCGGGGACCCATAAATGACAGAGAGTGACAGAAAGAATTTAGTGGGTGGTGTTTGGAGAGCAGTGGCATTGTTATCATTGTGTCTCTGCGGGATGATAGTCTCCATGGTAACAGGCCGAATCACACTGGCAACTCGGGGTCAGGACTCCCTCCGTCCAGATCCAACCGGGTTGGATCAGTAAATCACGATCCGCTTTTCAAAGTGGGGAGGGGAAGCCAGGTCACTCAAAATTCATACTCAGGGACTGTCTGCGCTTCCATTTGTTGATCTATATATAAACTGCCCAAATAAGAAATCATGGAAATGGAATTAAAGAGCACCGCTGGTCAAACTTCATCACTTGTATATACTACCGAGCCACAGAAATGACGTTTTTTGTGTGTGTGTGTGTGTGTGTGTGTGTGTGTGTGTGTGTGTGTGTGTGTGTGTGTGTGTGTGAAAAAGACAAAACAAATTTTTGTGTGTGTGTGTGTGTGTGTGTGTGTGTGTGTGTGTGTGTGTGTGTGTGTGTGTGTGAACAAAGCAGAACAAATAACATGAGCATAAAATGCTAATTTGTGTGCACAAAATAAAACAAGATTTAAAGATTTAAAGCCAAGACCTGCATGAACAAAAATGTTTACATTTGGCCGTGTTCCACGTTGAAAGTCAATTTCCTGTTTCAATTCAACTTCCATGCTCCATCATAAACACTGTATACAGAGCCCCCCCCCCAAAAAAAAAAATGTGTGGGGGAGAGAGGGAGGGGGGAACCCATTTGTTAACATGCTATTCTACTGCATTTTCTATGAGGTATGCATACAATATGCTAGACCAACATGTTCATTCCTCAAATGTAGCCATGCGAGCATTTTTCAAAAGCAACTCTGTCTCAGCCATCCTTATCCTCACACGACACCAGCGACTTCTGTATATTTTTTTTAGATTCTTGAAATGCAAATGTGCGCACGGATCTCAATGAATGATTCATTCCGTGGTGAAAAGCTGCACACAGGAACAGGAACAAAAACACCAGGTTCACAAGCCTGAGTCAGGTGTTGAGGAAAGAAGGTCTAAAATAAACGACTTTGTCTCGGCCTGGCTGGTCCGCACCTTCATTCCGTCTAGGTCTGCTGAGAGACACGTGTGAAAATTGACCGAAGGGGACACCAATCTCTCAAGAAAGTGAGAAGACCCAAAGCATTTCCCTGAGGAGCTCCACTCCAAATTGTGTCTGATGATTACATTTGGAGCGGATGTTGGCAGCGTTGCAAAATCAGATTTGAGAACCACTCAAAACAACTACTGGAAGTGACAACTGAATGCAACCTGGAGTTGATCCCTACTTTTCACTCTTCTGGGAACACTTTGAACAAGATACCAGAGTCTGTGAGATATTTTGGCCAGTCATGGTGTGCTGCGAGACCTGATAGGTATTCTTACTAAAATGACAAGCACAATCCAGATTTTTTTTCGAAAAGCTATGAGGACCTCAAACATTTCCCTGAGGGACTACACTCCAGACACTGTCTGGCACCACGTTCTTGCAACAAGGGTGTTGAGTGTTTTAATATGAAACTACAGTGGACCTACAGCATTTCCCTGAGGCGTGCCACTCTAAACTGAGACCGGCTGGGACTTAAGTATGGAAATTGGAAGTGCTGTTCTGCAAAAATCTTAGCGCAGGCCATTGAGCAAACTTGAGGCAGCAGATGTGTCAGTTTCGCTGAGCTTTACCCGTACCACAGGACAAAAGAATTGGGACAGTCCACCTACAGGAACACAATTTGGAGTTGTTCCCTCCATCGGCAGGCTCACTACGAGACTTTTGGAGCGTGTCTGTGGAAAATTGAGCCCAGTTGTGAGGTCAGAGGTCAATCTTGTGAGACACGTAGGGCCCAAATATCTTGGTATCATGAGGAATTAAGATTCAGTGGGAACCAGGGGACCTACCCCTGATTGATGAATTGATTGATAAACGGTTCTCCAAAGACTTTAGTGTGCAGTTCCTTCCGGAGGTGAACCAGGAACACCATCGCGAGGCAACATCATGCCACCTGAGTGCCAAGTAATACACAGGATGAGCTCACCAAAGTTCCAGACTACTTCACGTGCAATCGCGATGTCACGTGACGCTGCGGCGATGACATTCCACAATGCAATCCGACAAAGGGCAAACGACGGTTATTTTGCGGTCACTCCGTCTCGTTTCGCCAGCTTGGGCTTGCCCCCTTGCCTGACAAGCCGATAGATTTTATCTCTCCAGGCGCGACAATGACTGAAGCTGTACCATACAATCCCGTTAATGGCTCTGTCACACCGAAACACTCACGTTACCGGCGAAGACTCAATCTCGCTAAGAGACCAGTTAATAGTACGGACCAGAACATAAGGAGTCCATTTTTGGGGGGGGGGGGGGGGCATGATTTTCATATGGCATGATGAAGGGTTTATTATCCACTCAAATGGACAATCTGAGGATGTTAAGTACAAGGATACAACTCATGTGCTGCACTCAAGGGAAGTAGGTCGCACTTTGCAGCTTTTATTCATTTATTTCATTAATTTAAGTTTGAGTTTGAAATAATATTTAGGGGGATAATACTTTGGGTCGTTTTAGAGTTTAAACTATGAACAAAGGCAATTCTATTCTAAATGCTGTTTATGGAGGGGCAACAGGCCTCCTTTCGAAGTGTGCAGCACACAATGGAGAAAATATTTGACTCGTTCGTCATTTCAGCTCCGACGCCTTTGGCTCAGCCTGCGGTCGTGTCGGGAGTCGCTGGGGCATGTTCTGCATGACGATGTGAATGTAAAAAAAAAAAAAAAAAAAAAAAGACGCGGAAAAAGAGGACAATTGAAATGAAAAAAAAAAAAAAAAAAAAAAAAGAGCCGCGGTGCGGCCCAGGTGGTTTGTTTCATTGGTGCTGACAGCGTCTTTTGGCAAGGGGATGCACCTCCGTGTGTAAGGATGACAAAAGAACACCGGCGGGCAAACACAGCCCCCCCCCACCCTCCTTTAGACTGGTGGCCCAGCGCCTTTGCTCGTGCAATCTGCCGCTCCTTTCCGTTTCATTAGAGCTGACAAATGACACGGTGCCGCCGGCTGATAAGATAGCCAGCTACTCTGGGGGGAGGTGACGGGGGACGGGCCTGCTGGGTAAACACGCATCACCGGGATCCACGGAGCGGGTCGCGCTCTCCCCGGCCCGGCTCAGATTGAGAGATTATGCGGCAAAATCTAGCTATTATGCGGAAGAAAATGAGAAAGGACGGCGGCGGTGGCGCACACAACAAAAATCACTCGCGACAAGGTCGAATTCCACCGCGTTGTCCTGTCTGGCTGGGAGGTTAGTGCAGCTTTCTGTATGAAATTGTTACAGAATGCGAAGATGCGGCGCCAAAAGGGTGGGAGGGAAATAAACTACAAATACGTTTCTCATATATTTCATCGTTATATACTGTTTGCTTGACATTTGGTCGGTTTTGCCGTTTGACGGCGGCTCTTTGGGTTTACTCCAGAAGGGGTGCTAAGTGGAAGTGCTCCATGGATAGAACCTGAGCCGTGACAGTTGGATGTGACGTTGGCCACTTGGGGCGCCGTAATCATGTGCCCCACCGTGGCCCTTTCTCTTTGCACTGCATCTTTTAACAAGTGCGTCATATAGCGCAATATCCATATAGTTTAAACATACTTTCATTTTATGATGGGCACTTTGTTTGTATTTTTTGCATTCAAAGACAGTAATGTGGCGAGCATTAGCATCAACATTTTGTCGCGTCATATGGAGACATCCACGCAAAAAAGAAAGCTCTCCTTGCCCACAATGTGGGAGCATTACTGTATCTGAATTGCTGCATTTTTCTTTAAATTCATTTTGAATTCTCCGAATTTTGCAACCCCGGTTAAGATAAAGGGCGTACTCGTAACCAACTTAAACCGAGATGAAATAATTGCTGAAACAGCTTTCTGAAGTCTAATCTTATATCGGTCTTTGTACTTCTACTTCAGTACAGAGTGCCAGTAGTGTATTCCCACTGGCCATTTCAATTCGGCATCAAGCTACAGTCTGTATCCAAACTGAGCCTTCATCCCTCCTTTGATTGACATGTCCGTCCTTTTCGCTTTAGTCAAGCAGGCATTCGGGGAATTGCTGCTGCTGGTACATCACAGCCGCTGTCACCGCTGCCTTTTGTTGCCAAAAACACGGACGAGTTGGCGTCAAGGTCACTGAGCACGGAGGTCACCGCCACGCATGCAAATGAGGCCTGGCTGCAGCTTGCAGCCAACCGCAGGCAAGGTTAGAGGAGCTTTTGGTTGAAAAGATGGATCAAAGCCAGTCGTCGGCGCCATTTGTTGGTGCCACGCTAGCTTTTAGAGGCAAAGAATAGCTGACGAATGAATGATGAATAAACAGGCAACTTGACATATGAACGCACAAGTGGGAAAAAAAGTGGGAAAGATTAACAAATTACCATATTTTTCGGACTGTAACTCATAAATAAATTCTTTTTTTTATTTTTTTTATGGTTTGGTTGGTCGCGCAATTTATAAGTCAAGGAAAGACTTGACTTTGACTTGGCATTCAGAAGATTCAATTAGACTTAAAATCGAACTGACGTGGTAAGTCCTGCCAAAACAGCGTGATTTTTTTTTCTTCTTTTGAAACAAATGTCCTTGTTTTGGTGCCGTGCGCAGAAACCTGGCAACCTACCAGTAGGCTAGGATACAGTGCAGAGGCCAACTCACTGGCAGATTCAAAGATTATTACATTTGGAATCAGGGACAACCAAGGACAAGGAGCGGTTGGCACATTTGACTTACAATTCTGAGGTGGAGCTTGCATTTTTTTTTTTTTTTTTTACGGGCGACCAAAGCTACACACGACACCTGCCACTATAATGAGAAGTGCTCTCGAAAATGGATGCACGGATAAGAATGAGTGAATGCTCACTTTTCTCCTTGAAGCTTGTTGGTTTTCACAATCAAGTCTTGAGTTTGCTCCTTAGCGGCCTGTCAAACCAAAAAAAAACAAGAGTCACAAATGCACATGATTTAAAATGACTCATAATTGAACAAAATGCCAAGTTAATGCATTTTACTGCACCTTTAGCCTGCTGGTCATCTCCGCACAGCAGGTGCTCATGGCCTGAACGTCCTCGTGAACACTCTCGAGCTCCTGTGGAAAGAAATGAGGAAAAGGTTTTTTTCCCCCCACCACTCCCAATGCTTCAAACACATCCTAAGCGTCTTTTACCTCCTTGACTTCTTTGAATATCCGCGCAAAGTCCTCGTTGATGGCCAGGCTCCTTCGCTCTATGTCACCGCGCAGGTTCCTGCGTGTACGCAGGCTGTTCTCAGTGAAGAACTCCGACAGGGCCGTAAGAGCCTCCAGCATCTCCTGCAAACGTGACACAAACACAGGATGATCCAAATGGAAAATGACAGAAACTGACATAATACACCCAACGTAATGTATGAATGCTTTAAAAACCCCCATGTATTTTCCACACCACTTGTCCTCATTATGGTTGCGGATGAGCTGTGGACTGGTCGCCAGGTCATGCAGACACAAGTAACCACAAATTATATATGAGTAGTAGGATGGCGCGCGTGACACAATCAACTAATCCCTCGTGCTGCGGTCAATGACTGACATGGTGACTATGTGATGTCAACAACCAATTATAAAATGATGACCTCGAGTGACCAGAGTAAAATGACAAAAACAACTAATTGCTGATGTTGTGTGGAATGACTGACCTGTAGACGAGATGTTTCCCATGAGAAACGCTTTACAAGTTTTGGTGCGAAAAATTAAGTACAACTGCGGTGTGAGTACATATAAAATACAAAACAAACCTTTCTGTTGTGTATTTTCGCGCTATAGTGGCGTTACAAAATGCGGAAAGGTGACGCGTCGCGTGCCCCAGTGAGCTTGCCGGACAACCGCAGTAGATTCAGTGACGTGAGCATATTGGGGAAAGAAAATGACAATGTAACTCTGATAAACTCGACCAAACTCGTTCACTAAAAGTACCGAAAGTGACAAATGTTCAAGCAGAACTCGGAAGAGAAAAACAAGAAAGAAAACCAACTCAGATGGTCTGGAAAAGTGACGCGATGGTCGTCTTACAACAATGAATGTGCAAACTAGCGATTTATCTTAAATGTTGCAGTTTTGACCACTGGTGAATTGAAACTGAAAACAACACGATGTTCTGCTCCCATTGTGCGTACCGTAACCTCAAATGCACGCTCTAAACAGACCATCCCTGCACTGCGAGCTCGCTTAGCAGTCGACCAGAAGCTATGTTGCATTGAGAGTGACTGTTACCTTGTCATTGTCAAGCCGAGTTTCCAAAATTTTATTCAGCTTCCTCGACAGCGGGTTGTTGGGCTGAGACGTCGCGTTTGTATTCTGTAACAAAGCAGCAGTAGAGGAGCTGTCGGCTGCTGATTCTACCTTAGCGTCAGCCATCGCACATTATCGAGCGTCCTTCTTTCCACGTCAACTGCTTTTTGTTTTGGTCCGTGCGGGATCAACGTCCGGTCGGTGTGTGAGGGGAAACAAAGGGTAGAAAAAAGAAAGGTTCCGCCTCACGATAAATGATTTTGTGTCCCCTTTCAAAAGTGACAATTCGCTTTGTATTACAATACTGTGTCAAAAATATATTGTTAATTATTCTGATATTAAATGTTTTTGAATGCATTATATATTAAAAAAAAACGTTTTTGGAAAGCTAATTATCCAAAAAAATCTCATATGATTAAAATAATTTTATTCAGTTTCCTGGATTTGACGATACCATCCCTAAAACATTTCTATTGTTTAGTAAACAATAGAAATGTATTGTTTAGTAAACAATGGAAATGTTTTCGTTAATGACACTTTCAATACTGCAAAAATACATTCAATTAATCCGGTTAAACCAAAACAGATTACCATTCCTGAATTGATTTCTATTTTTTAATCTGCAAATGGCCACATGCTGAGTTAATCTGAACACAAAATTTTGCTGGTATTCATATTCAATCCAAATGACTAGATGGATTGTTTATTAATATTATATAATGCTGTGACATAACAGAGAGGTAATCCACTGTGCTTTATACAAAGAAGATTGAAGTATTACGGATACAATGTCGCAATAACGGCAACACCGTTCATTTTAACAAAACAAGGGTGGGAATGGAGCGCAAAAGTGCATTTCACGAAGTGTCCTTGAACGCCTCGTGGCGCGTTCAGCGACCGCCAGTTGCGGCTGTCCCGGCCCCTGGGTGGGGATTGGCGTGATTGATGGTCACATCGAGAGGCGCGTACGTTCGCTCGTTCCCCCGCTATCTCCGCGCGTTTGTCACTCGGTCCGGCGTCTTTCCCCACGCGAACACGCAGCCGTGCATTTTAATCGGTCACCCGCTCGTCGTCCGACGTATCGATGAGGACGAAGTGACCTGTGCAAATCTTCGAAGGAATTTCTTTTTCTTTTCTTGTTTTTCGTGGATTGTGGAAAAGTTTCCAGCGACAGCAGCTGGAGTCCGTGGCTGGGGAAGAAGCCGCTGCGAGAGGCGCACTTGATTCCGGAGCTCTCGCAATATGTAAGCCGAAGGAAGTCTTTTTCAAATCTTTATCATTAACATTCCAACGGTGTGAGCACTGCGATAAGTCAGCGCTGAATCACTTCCCGCAGGGAATGGTATGTGTGTGTGCGTGTCTATGTGCGGTGCGCGGCAGCGCGAAGAGAACGTCCACTTGATACATTGTAAACTGTTTTTTTTTTTTATGCAACTTTCAGGTCAACAAACATCTTATTTTCGTTTTGCGAACACTGGAGAGAATGTTGGAATATTTCAAGTAGTGCTTTCACGGCGGATTATTTTGAATTTACTAAGCTTGCTTGCACTCATAAAGTGAATGTGTGAACAATAATGGTGACGTTTCTTTAGAATTGATTGGCAGAGAAGGACAATATCGGAAATTGCTGCGTGCTAATCTAATATGTATTGAATGCAAGAGCGGAAGATCAATGTTAAAAACAAATATAACCACAGAAAAAGACTTTTTTTAAAGCCTGACAAAAAGTAACACACACACACACACACACACACACACACACACACACACACACATAAATAAGCACAAGTACATTTCATCTGATGTTCATTTCGTAGACGTAGCCGAGAGAGAGTGAGGGCTGCGCTGCTGTGGGAATGCTCACAGCCAAATTTAATCTTGGCCAATTAAAACATCTCATCACATTCCCTGTAAATATCACATACCTAAGTCTTGAAATGGCGGCGCACATACCTGCACTGTGAAGTCGGCACTTGGATCCGGTCGCGTACAGAAACTGTATAAAACTGCTTTTTTTCTCCTTCTCGCTATCAGGAGGTGAAGACGTCTCACCTGAGCGACACGCCATCTTCCCTCAACGCCTCCCTCCCGCAACTCGGTCCCACCACCAGTTTGCCCTCGCGTCTGACCCCGCATGGCGTCCAGTCTGACGTGCGCCGGCGCGGTGTCGGCGCTGCTGTCCCTGCTGTGCGCCGCCGCGTCCTGCGTGGGCTTCTTCATGCCCTACTGGCTCCTGGGCATGCAGATGGACAAGCCGGTGTCTTTCGGGACCTTCCGTCGCTGTTCGTACCCCGTGCGCGATGAGGAGCGCCAGGCCACCGTCATGCTGGAGCAGTGCGGCCGTTACGCCTCCTTCCACGGCATCCCCAGCCTGGAGTGGCGCATCTGCACGCTGGTGACGGGCGTGGGCTGCGGCCTCCTCCTCTTGGTGGCGCTGACCGCTCTAATGGGCTGCTGCATCTCCGAGCTCATCTCGCGTACGATTGGTCGCGTGGCCGGGGGCATTCAGTTTGTCGGAGGTAAGTGTGTTGGGATCGGGACACTTTGAGTTGCTTTTCCCACTGCTGGCGGAAGAAACGGAAAGGAAATTCTATTCGGAAGTTTTTGGACAAAAACATTGGGACTCAGTCATTGATGACTGGCATGAAAAGTGGACTGATCAATGACAAGTGACATGTCCAACCGATCAAAGGTACGCCTTGGTCAGTCAACCTTTCAGTCATTCCTTGAAGCCCCGGTGATTGGTCTATTGGTCTGCGTAAAATGTCTTTCATTTCACATACCACCAGTGATTGGTTGTTTTTTTCACCTTTCATTGGTCAGTCTACACATCAGTCATGACAAGTAGCACCGGTGCTGATTGATAACAGGCCATTGACATGCGATCGGTCACTGCTGCTAAGTCTAACGATTGACATGTTGACTAAACACTGATTTAGTTGTGGACTGAACAATGCCCAACCTGTAGACTGGCCATTGTGTTTGTAAAAAAAAAAATAATAATAATAATTACATCCCAGTCACAGTATTGAGTAAAAAAAAAAAAAAATCGCAATGATCTCATTCTTCAAAATCATTGAGTCCTCTTGTGTACGATTGTGCCATGAATCACATGTAGACGCACCAATGAGCGCCATGTGGCGGAATGCTGTGTTTCGCTCGCATTGTGTGCCTCAAAAGCAGCTGACTTGTCACTCGCTGTGTTTTTTTCGCCGCTATGTGCATGTGCCGCAGACGTGCCGGCCTGGCACTCGTTCAAAAATGTTGTTTTCACTTCAAGTGGTGTGCAGAAGCGTCATGTGGAAAGCAAGACCACGCTTTTCCTTCAGAGGCCTCACTTGAGCTCTCCTGCTATGAAAGCATCTTTTTTGCCAGTTTGATCATTGCCCGCTCGCTCCTGCGTGCGCTTTTGTTGACGTCTGTCGGGCGTCTTCATGCACACGTGTGCCAGCGGCTCCCGAGGGCCGGCCTTCAGCCAGGGCTTTGTGGCCTACTTTAAGATGCCGCAGCCTTCTCATTAACCGGGCGACGCTGGCATTCTTGCGGCGGGCCAGCGCTGCTATTTGCAATCCCCGTCACGCTGCTCGGCTTGGAATAGTGACAGCCAGGCAGGTTGCGGATGGATTTGACGGAGCCTGCGGATGGGGATGAGGATAAGGACCACTGTTAAAAAAAAAAAAAAAAGACTTGCTTGCATCACCCGAGCGCAACAACAAATCACACTCTTGACTCGGTAACATGAAATACCAAAAAGAGTAGGTGACACGATTGCGTTGATTGACATGCGGACTGACCAATGAAAAGTGCTCACGCCGAAGAAAATGGTGGACGAGGCGCCAGTCAGACTGCTTTAGACAAGGGTTGAACTACTTTTGGTGGTGAACTGTTTTCATTGTAGTTAGCTTTTGTTTTCCTTTTGATTCTTTTTCCTTTTTAATTCAGTTGGTTTTAATTCATTTTTAGAAACAGGTTTGTTAGTTTTGATTAGTTTTTTGAAAATGCTCCATTTTAGTTGACAACAGTAACAAAATACGGACCACGCAAGCTCATGAATGATATTAATTGACAGAGACAAAAACAGTGCAACGATTGCAGTTCGTTTTATAAAAGTACGATGTTTCAGTCAATTTGAATTAGTTTTTTTTTTTTTAAGTTAAATGAAAATGTTTTTTCAACTCTAATAACCTTGCTGTAGATGAGAAAAGTAAATGAAATGGAACCTCGCTTTCATGTGAGGAAAGCTCGTTTCAAGATCAAAACTTGCTATTTTCAGTTAGCGGATTAAAAAAAAAA